ACTCCTTGTTCACATGTTAGGAACAAATTCTGACAACACTATCATATGCAAGCAGTAGGGTTCTGGCTACTATAATTCCTTTGTCACATTGCATGTGCTACATCTTATTTATTTATTTGACTTTTATCCTGCTCACATATTGCCATGCCATTACCCTGGGTGGCTTATACAGTGGTGCCTCGCAAGACGAACACCTCGCGGGACAAAAAAACCGCAAGACGAATGTTTTTTGCGATCGCTGTGGTGCCTCGCAAGACGGCTTCTTCTATGGCCATGCTTCGCAAGATGAATGTTTTTCACAAGACCGATGCCTCACAAGATGAATTTTTTCGTCTTGCGAGGTTCCCATGGAAATGCATTGCATTCTATGGTTTACGTATAGGACATAAGAGAAATTATCTGCTCCTTAGCAGGTCTGAAAATTAGCTAGATACAACCTCAGATGAACAACAACACATGACACATTTACACTGTGTCATGATTTATTTTACAAAAAAAGCCAATATGGGGAAGCCATGTCTGAAAAACTAAATACACCTTTTGATTCAATAGGTTGTAGAACTATCTTTAACAGCAATTACTTGAAGTAATTCTTTTCTGTATTATCAGTCTCTCACATTATTGTGGAGGAAATTTGGCCCAATTTTTTGAGTGATGGTTTGGACTTGTTTTGCAGCCACAGGACCTAGGCAACTTGCAGTCATTGAGTCTACCAAGAACTGTTTTCACACATGACTTCTTCCTTTTGGCTTTATTTTTGTTAAATAAATCATGACACAGTGTAATATTTCATGTGTTGTTCCTCTGGGATAGTATCTACCTAATTTTCAGTCCTGCTAAAGTCCAGATGATTTTTTATTATATCATGATATGTAAAACCATTGGATTCAAAGAGGATGTCCTTTCTTTTTCACATGACTGTAAACATACAGTCCCCAACAGACAAACCTGTTGTCAAAGAAAGAAACTAAAAACACTAGCAAAAAAAATATCTTCCAGCAGCAACAGCAGTCAGAAAATATAACATAATAGGCTATCATGCAGGGAGGATGCCTTGAAAAGATTCTCTGAAAAGATTTGTTTTAATCTTCACATAAGGGTGGGTGTGGATGGATTGATATTATGTTTTCCAATAGTTATTTAAAACAGTGGTTCCCAGACTTTGGCACCCCAGGGGTTTTGGGTTTCAGCTTTCAGAAACTCTGACTGTTGAGCATACTAGCTGGAGATTTTGACAGCTGAAGTAAAAAAAAATTGAAGAGCCAAAGGGTGAAATCTATCACTCTAAAGAGCTTGATTTTCTATAGAGTAAAGATGATGACCTGTTAGTTCTGTAAAATAATTCTCAGCTAAATCTTATGCAAAGCATTCCTTCCATATTACCAAGGACACTCAACCTACAGATAACTGACTGACTACCCACATAGCAGATGGTTGTTCCAGCAGTTATCAATCTGGCCTTCATAAACCAGTGTTGCTAAAGGTTTTTCATTTAGCTGAAAGTTTAGCTGATAAGGGATGTGGGTATGACATTTGGCTCAGTGAAACAAAACAGAATGGACTGTTGAAAAATCCATCACCATGTAAGAACTGAATGTGCATTTTATTGTTTATATACAGTAACTATTCTCAAATTAAAAGCTATCTTTGTGCTGTTTTTTAAAATTTAGAAATAGATTTAAAGGTAAAGGTAAAGGTTCCCCTTGACAATTTTTGTCCAGTCGTGTTCGACTCTAGGGAGTGGTGCTCATCCCCATTTCCAAGCTGTATATATTTATACTGGTGAAAGCAGAGTGAAAAGTAATAGAATATCTACTTCAACAGTCTATTAAATTAGACTAATAATACATCCCCAAGAATATATATGCTATCCAGCTGCCTCCTGGTTATTCCAAAGGTTTTCTTGATAATTTTCTCACTGCAGTATTGATCTAAGACTATATACATATTCAAATTAGTCCAGAAATGAACTGTTTGTATTCTTGTATCATTAGAATTTATGTAATACAGCCTAATGGTGGTTTATTCTTAATTAGGATTACGTATTATATTCACCCTCGATGAAGTTTCCTTCATACAGAATCTAGTGTTTTATATAGAGGCTGCCTACAAAGTTGCTGTAAGTATCTTCAAGATTATGTGAATGTATTTATTTATCCTATTTTAATTTCATTAATCATATCTTGAATCTACAGCCACACAATAAAACACAACATTTGGGTTTTATTTTATATCATATTTTTCCATTTATAAGACACCCCCCAATTTTCTAACCCCCAAATTAAGAAAACTTAGCTTTGAGGATTCAGCCTATGAGCTCAGAACACTGGACATTTTCTCTCTGTTGAATCTTGAGCCTACAGGCTCCACCTCCAAGGAGGTGTGTTCCAGTTGGTTTGTTCAGGGTCAGCTGATGTCAGTTCCATAAGGCTTGTGATTGGAGGAAGCTAAGTCTCCTGACTGTAGGAAACTAAGCCTCATGGCTGAAGGAAGCCTATTTACAGAGGCAAGGTATGTGCTGTTTTGTTCTTTTCTCAGCTATCTCAGCTTACTTCTGTGTAAAAGATGCCCCTCAATTTTTAGGGTAATGATTTTAGGAAAAAGTAGCATCTTATAGATGGAAAAAAATACAGTATTTTGTTTATATAAGCTTTCTTGGATAAATTTTATCTTTATCCTCATGCCTATCAAGAATAAAAATGAAGAAATGAATCCTATGAAGTATATTTATTAAAGAAGAAAACTCAGTTCTAATGCTTTGATTTCCTTTTTTCTTTTGTTTCAGGATTATGGAATGTGGGAACGTGGAGATAAGACCAATCAAGGTATCCCTGAACTGAATGCAAGCTCTGTGGGAATGGCAAAAGTGAGCATTTTTAATGGTTTCTATATGTAGATTGAAAACGAATCATAATACAGTGGTGCCCCGCTTGATGACGATAATCCGTTCCAGGAAATTGTTGTTAAGCAAAATCATCGTCAAGTGGGAAAACACCATTGGAATGCATTGAAAACCGGTCAGTGCGTTCCAATGGGGAAATACCTCATCATCCAGCGAAGATTGCCCATAGAGAACTGCCAATCAGCTGTTTAAAATGGCTGTCTTCTGAAGCAGGGGTCTGGAAGGCAGCCATTTTGCGAAGGGAGGGAAGCCATTTTATGAAGGGAAACCATTTTGTAGAGCTGGAAACATCATCATTTAGTGAACAAACGGTTTCCGAAGCAGGCTCCTAATCGACATCAAGCGAAAAAACCCCATTGGAACCATCGTTTTGCAATCGCAATAGCGATTGCAAAAAACTCATCATAAAGCGATTTCGACGTCATGCGGGGTAAGCGTCAAGCGGGGCACCACTGTATATTTGTTACCCTTAATGGTTATAATTCCATACAATGTGTCATATATGTTCCACTGAGGTCACCAGAGCTTATATCTGCCTTCAAAGTGTTAAATTGTGATACAAGTTCGAGTTCAGTGTTGAGTCGAAAGCTACTGCAATAAATTGAAGATCTGCTACATATTTCAAGGTGCTTTCAAATGCATCCTGTAGCATTCTGGATAGTTCAATTTGCTACTCTGCCTCCTTGACATGGGCTGGACTCAATAAGCAGAGCCAGAAGCTGGAAGTTCAGTTTGCTACTGTGCCTCCTTGACATGGGCTGGACTCAATAATCCATAGGGTCTCTTCTAGCTCTGCAGTTCTATGATGATGATGATAAAGTATACAAGATTTAAAGCATGCACTGAAAAGTTTGCTCAGTGCCCAATGCCCAATATATGGGTGAATAAATGTACATGTAGTTCTTCCTTATGGACTTCTCATCATTGTACCTGGAAGTTAGAATATCTAAATGCAAAAAAAGAGAAGGGGAAATAACTTTTATATTTCTACCTAGTAATTTCAGATAGACCCTGTTAAACAGTCAATTCAAATACTACATGTGTGCTGGTTGAAAATTGTCACCAAAGATTTCTTTCTGTTCTTGATTGCATGTTTAATATTGGGGGAAAAGCTCTTGGAAATTAATCAGTAGTTTGTATTTTAAAAAAGAAATTTGAATAAAGGATCCAGAGCTATGAAAGTTTTCCACCAGAAGACTCTATCTGGACTATTTGAAGGTCACTTAATAGACTTTGAAGCAAAATAAGATCAAGAATAACCCATGAACTGGGGATATTTGGATACAGGACAAATTTTCTGTGACTGTTGAAAAATTGAATCAGTGCAACACTTTTGAACAGGCAATTTATGCCCCACCACATATACAAAAGAAGATCTGGCAAATGGTCGAGATAATGCTATTGAAGTAACCCTCTTCTGGTCAAAAATAATTTAATTTTCTTAACATTTTATTTGTTTTTAATTTTACTTATATTTCATATGCATCCATAAATTTAAATTGTGCAGCATTGATGTAAATAAAGAAAGAACGTGTTAAACATTCCACTGAGAAAAATAGCAGCTCAGAGTTTACTTGCATTTCTTTCTTTCAAAGCAAAGCTCATCAAAAAATAATAACGCATGTATGTTTTTGAAGGCTGCACTGGAAGCAATTGATGAGCTGGACCTCTTTGGAGCTGGTGGAGGACATAAATCAGTGATTCATGTCCTTCCAGATGAAGTTGAACATTGTCAGGTAAGCCTGTGTCTTCTTTCAGTGAGATATCTGGAAGGAACTATAACGAAGTGCCTTCCTTTTGGAAAACCTAACCGAGCCACTAGTGCCAATGGGTATATAAGATGTAAACAGCCCCTTTGTGAATTAAGGTATGGGGGAATAGTCTGAGTAAGTCTTATTTTAAATATGAACAGGATACTCTTTCTAAATCAGATAAAATATTTGGGATGAAATTAATTGTCTTTTACTTTTCCCTTGTTTTTCATTGGTGCTTATTTGTGTTCTTCCCAGTCTATTTTGTATTCCATGTTGCCAAGGGCATCTACATCAAAAGAGATTGATGCTGGACTTTTGTCTATCATTTCTTATCCAGCCTTTGCCGTAGAGGATATGAATGTTGTTAATGCAACAAAAAATGAAATTATCACCAAACTGCAAGTAAGAGTTTAATTTTGACTTATAAATAAATATTGGATTCAGTTTTTCAGTTAGCAATGCATTCAGGCACTTCAGTAACCTAAAGAAAGATGAAAGAATATTCTGTCTTATTAAGATTATGTAAAATTATGCTTATGCTCCTAAAATTTATTTATTTATTCATCTTTACAGGGACGGTATGGTTGCTGTCGTTTCCTTCGAGATGGCTATAAAACACCAAGAGAGGTCTGAAACCAAGAAAATGTTATCATTTCCCAAATAATATTTCATTTAATTTTATTTTTCCCTTGCAGCACACAATAACCATCAAATACCAATATTCAGCATCATAAAAACACAGAGTTCATTGTGAAATGTCCTAAACAAAATATAGATAGAATGAAATCAGAGAAATAAATGCATTGTTAGAGTGAAATGATACAGACAGATGCCAAAGCAAGATCAAAATAAAGCAGTAAACATTTAAAACAGGCAATCCAGTCTCGTGCTGGCTTTGTTCTTCTCCAAGGTGGTATAGCAACCTAGCTTCAACAGAATTCAGGATCTTAGAGGCAAGTTAGACGATGTGCACCTGGCCCCTTAACCATGTGACACCAGGATGCTACGTTTAGGGTCACAAGGTATAACTTGTGTTGTCTTTAGAAAGCTAGAAGGACAACAAAATGATGGTGGGAATATTATCTATGCTAAATTGCACTTCCTTGAAGAATGTGCAGAATACATGAATGATGAGCATGACAGAATAAGAGGAATAATATAGTATTTAACGGACAACTTTATTTCTAGGATCCAAATAGATTGCACTATGATCCTGCTGAACTCAAGTTATTTGAGAACATAGAATGCGAGTGGCCTGTATTCTGGACATATTTCCTAATTGATGGTGTGTTCAATGGGGACAGAATTCAGGTAAGGGAAATAATAAAAGTAAGGAGAAATAAATAAACTAAGCTATAATACATTGCTGATCTTTACTCCATTTATAGCTCTGTGCCTCCAGTGGAGGTATTCTTGACCTTGTATATTTACACTACAATGCTGCTTAAAAATAAGTTCCATTAATTCTGTTCAGGCTTTCTTCCAGATGAATTGAGTGTAGGATTGCACTCTTAAAGGAATTTGCTTAGGAATTTATTTCTAGACTTAGTAGGCACAATACTGGGCTTAGACTGACCAGACGGAATGTGGAAGAGTTCCTTTTCACATAGTTAGTGTTTTTTGACTATAGCACTAGTCACGCTAGCTGGGAGGATCTGGACATTGCAATCCAAAAAAGTGGCCTTTCCAGGCTGGGCACCCAGTGTAATGCAGCATCTCTTCCCTTCCAGCAAGCTCCTACTGCAGTAGCAACTGTAACACCAATTGTGTAAAAGGACAGAGCCAAACTATATTGCTTTGGCCTATTAATCAGTAAATGCTCTGACACGAACATTACGAGGTGTGGACATATTCCCTTCACACAGCCTACTCTATTCTAAAGCACCCTGTATGGAATATTTGAGGGAGGCGTTGGGGGATGAATTCCCGTGAAACAGCACCGCAATCTCTAAGCCAGGGGTGAGAAATGTGTTGTCCTCCAGAGACTGGTGAATTGCTGCTCCTAACCTCTCTCACTGTTGGCTGTGTTGCCTAGGCCTGATGGGAGCTGCAGTCCAGTAGCATTTGAAGGGGCACATGTTCCCCATCTGTGCTTTAAGTCTAGCATATGGAAGGAGTGCTTTTCTGTCCAGAAATGGACAGCCAGAACATGAGGCAGCAAGTTCCTCGTTCTGATCTCTGCCAGCTGCTTATAGTGAGTGTTGGGTTTTTTGTTTTTTTGTTTTTTTCCCTGCACATCATTCAAAATGTTGACTCCTGCCTGTAACTTTTCAGTGACATCATCCATTCTGCCACCTCAGTGTTCAGTAGAATGATGCCCTAAGCTTCCTTCAGTGTAATTGTTCTGGGTGAAGCATCTGGTGCATTGTTCTTTTAAGTATTATTGTGCTTTTATGGATCTTGATTAACTTTCTTTGCCAGGCAGTATCCAGAGTCCTACAGCAAAAAAATGCACATGTTACTGGTGCAGTTTTTCTAATTTAATGTTTGCCAGTCTTGTGCCTGTCAGCAACCAGTTGCATGTCCCATTGCAGAGGACTATGGGGTACAAAAGAGAGCCAGCAACCTGCTTCCTGCTGTTATGTGCTCACAAGATGAGATAGGATTCTGAAAAAAAATGTTAAACAAAGAAGCATTCGCTTGCTACTTAAGGGGTAGTATTTCTTCCTTGCGTAAATATTTCTCTCTTGTTTCTTTTACAGAGCAACATTTTATTTTAAGTCCTCCTTGTGTTTTCCAGGTGCAAGAGTACAGAGAAGCCTTGGAGGGGATACTCATTAGAAAAAAGAATGGGATTCTTTTGATGCCAGAATTGTACGCTGTTCCATCAGATAAGGTAATACAGAAAAATACAGCAGCAACTTCATGGCATGGAACAAGAACAGATTGTAAAATGTATGCCTCACCTGTAAATGTGTTCTGCTTTTTTAAGCTTCCCTGGTTTAATGCATGTATTGTATTTGTCACTTGTGATTTCTGGCTTTTAGTATTAAAATATGATTGCCTAATAATTCTGTTAGGCTATTTAAAAGAACAATTTGTGCTTGAGTACAGTATATATCTCATTCCAGCGCCATTTCTTTTTATTAGAAGTCTTCTAAAACCATAGAGCTAACCGATTTGTCAAGGAAAGTGTTGGAAATGGCTTTCTCATTTAAACTGACATACTTCTTTATAATTCAACAAAATCTACTCAAAAATAAATTAATGGAGAAAAATGTTTGCAACCTTTCGGAATAACGTTTCCAGCCTTGGGTCCCCAGATGTTCTTGGACTAAAACTCTCAGAAGCTTTCACCTCTAGTGGTGCTGGCCATGATTTCTGGGAGTTGTAGTCCAAGAACATCTGGGGACCCAAGATTGGGAACCACTGGATAAAGAATATCAGTTCTGTTCAAATCAAACTGAATTTCACCACCTAGCCTTTCTTTTAGGATGAAATAACATATGTTATCAAACTGTGCTTTCTAACTTTAGCAGCTTTGGTCTATTTATATTGACAGTATGCTGTATTTATTTTTTATTTTATTTTATTTTTTTAAAAAATTGATTAAGTTTTGAAAAGCTATCACCCTGTTTGTGGACAGGACCCTAGAGAGGGGAAGGCTACCACATGTCTGTTAGAACCCTGCTCTTTCTGACTTATAAAAGCTGCTTCTGTCCAAGCTATCTAAAAGACTCTGCATGAGCCTCACACGTGTGCTTTGTGAGAACACAGGAGAGGGCCTTCTCTGTTGCTGCTCCCTGACTCTGGAACTCCCTCCCATGGGAAGCCAGACTGGCCCCATCTTTGCTGTTCTTCCCCAAGCAGGCAAAGGCCTTTCTCTTCAGGCAGGCTTTCTTTTAGTGACTGGCTGTCTCATTTCTGTGTTATAGGGAAATGGGGCAGAGGTATGAGTAAAGTACACACTACCTTGTTGTATCTTCTGCTAAAGACTAATAAACATGTGGGTTAAGTGCATTGCTTGAACCCCAGCCTGATAAACTATTTCATCATTGCTTGAAACCTTGTAAAAGAGATAGAGTATTTTGGAATTTTATTTATTGGGCATCTGCAAGCTTGGCACCTGCATTGTGGTCATAATCTGTTACGTTTGTAGCTTTGTTGTCTGTTGGAGATGATATTGCAACTGGAAGCTTCCAAGATCTAGAATATTGTATTGTCAAGTGACAATTTGCATGATCTACTAAAGTTTTGTCTGTGAAGTTTGATCTTCAGCAGCCTATTCATGCATCACCTCCAACTCAATGGCCAGAAACCTCTTGGTATAACTTATGCCATGCAAGCAAGATGACATTTTCATCCCACGATGGGAATGTTTAATTTAAATTAATTAAAATCAGCTCTCTAATCCCCCATCCCCTCACTTTCAAGGTTCTGAAGCTCCCCAGGGTTCCCTTTTATCCAGAGGAAGCCTTTGGGAGCCTCAAGATGGTGGTGGTGGGAGCCTTTTAGAGCCCAGACATGCCACTGGATCACCACCAGTGGTCCTGATCCTAGTGACAGTGACATGGCAGTGATTTTTGGCTGTTAAGGGCCCCTCCTGTGCTGAAGTTTTCAAAGGCTTCCCCAGAGCAAATGGGAGCCCTAGGGAGCCTCAGAACCTGAACTGGTGATAGTTGGCTTTCAGTTAATTTAAATGTTGTGTCATGGGATGATGATATCATCCTACTGGTATGGTGTAAGATTTTGCAAGAAGATTTTGGCCAATGACTTCCAGTGGAGTCAGTTCAGACATTTAGTTACTCAGTTTTCAAATTAAGAGTATGAAGTAATCCACAAGGATCCACAAACCAATTCAAAGTATTTATTTTGTTTTTGAGGTGAATGAAGAATATGAGAATCCTCACACAGTGGACCGTGTCCCAGCTGGAAAGCTTCCTCATCTCTGGGGTCAATCATTATACATTCTGAGTGCCCTCTTAGCAGAGGTAATTCTATCTTTTACACAGCTAAAGAGAGTCATTTTAGCACGTTATTTGGGTATGTCATAACTAAGAGCTGGACACACTGCTGGGTTGTTTTTATCCTTCTCTTGGTGGGCCCCATCTAGCCATCTGGACAGCTACCAAGGTTTAGCTACTCCCCTGACATCATGATAAAAATTGCCATTCATGTCCCCTGAAGCCTGGGAGAAGGGGATTGATTAGCAACTCAAAGGCTATCAAGAAGGATAAGGCTTTTGGGGGTCCCAAAATAGCACAGAAAAGTCCAGTTGACATGTACATTTTTTAAAAAAAAACTATTTCAGCATTGGGATGGAGGCACTTAAATGGCTGTTAAACAGCTAATTGTAATTTGCCATTTTTGTTATAAAACATTTTAGGCATATCCAGCAGGCCACAGGGACTGCACATTGCCTCCTGTATCTTAACTCCTATTTATGTTGAAGATTTGATTTCTTAGTGGATGGGCATCCATTATCAAAGCCAACTGTGTCTGCCTAAACCCCCATTAATTTCCCTCTGCTTGCTATTCAACAAGAAGCAGGGTTTGGCCACTGAAATCTGTCTTGATTTTAATCTACTTCCCTTCTCAGGGGTTTTTGGCACCTGGTGAAATTGATCCCTTAAACAGAAGATTTTCAACTGCTTTTAAGCCTGATGTTGTAGTTCAAGGTTGGTGACCACTGTTGTGCAATGTTTTTGCTTCTGCTAATATGAATCTTCTGAACCTGAGGTGTCTGGTGTTACAGTGCTCTGTTACCTTAAAGAAGTGAGAGATAGCAATCTGTGCCATCTTCCTTGTGCATGGGTTGAGGTCAAGGAACCTGCTGGGAAGGAAATCCTATCAGCTGTACTTTTCCCACCAGACTAGCTTTGAATACATACCATAAAATTGTTTTCATATGCGATTAAGTTACTTCCAACCTATGGTGACCCTCACATATGTGAGATCTTCAAGGAGCTATTTACTCATTGCCACATCCTAGTAAATTTCCATGCCATATAAGAGATTTGAACCAATGTCTTGAGTCCTAGTCCCACACACTATCCACTACACCACGCTGGCATTGAATACAACCCATTAAATTCTTGTCCAGCAAATCCATTTTTGTCTCCCAGAAGATGATTGCATATAATGTTGTATACTGAAAGATAAACTCTATTCCCTCCTTCCCCATCTTGTGCAGTAAATGTCCTAGCAGAGACAAATGAAATTAAGAAACTCTTGAGACATCATGGAATCAATGTTCAGAGCATTGCTGACATTAATCCTACCAGAGTGCAGCCAGCCCGGATCCTGAGCAATCTATATGCCAAGCTTGGTAGGTATTGTAGTACCTTATTGGCTTCTTCAACTTTAAAAACCTTATTTGCTTCCCCTATGTGGCCCTTCACTTTTCCCTTCTTTTTAAAGCAATGTTGACATCCTTTGACATTATTCCTGTAAGTAAATTTCATAAACTGCTCAAAAGCAGTTGTGATTTCATGTATAAGGAAGTACATTGGTGCCTCGACTTACAACCGTCCCGACATACAACCATTTCAAGTTGCGACCAGCTCCGGCCGCAAAATTTTGCTTCGAATTGCGGCCAGAGCTTCGAGTTGTAAATAGAAAAGAGGCAGGGGAAAAAGGCAGGGAATTCAAATTAGAGTACTCACCGTTGGTCGGTGAAGAGGCTGCTTCTTTGTCGCTCTTTTGCCCCAATGGTTAGAGTGTGTGCATTTGCAGAGAGGCTTCGGACTGCCTGGTGCTGCTTTCTGCTTCTGGGTGAGTACATTTACAGGGTTTTGCAGAGTGGGTTTGGGCTGGGGGGTTATGTTTCTGTGCTGTGATGTTGTTTGGTGTTTTTTTTTTTCAGCCTCATCACCTTCTGATGGGATTTACTCTGTGTGTGTTTTTTTATTTTATTTTTTCAGCCCCATCGCGTTCCGATGGGGCTGGCTGTGCTGTTTATTTTTTTTAGTATTATTATTTCTTTCAGCCCCATCCTGTGCTGTTTATTTTTGGTATTTTTTTTTTCTTTCATCCCCATTGCGTTACAATGCAGCTTCCTGTGCTGTTTATTTTTTGTTATTTTTTTCTTTCAGCCCCATCATGTTCTGATGGGGCTTCCTGTGTGGTGTTGGGTTTTGTTTTTTATTTTTTTTCCCAGCCGGAATAGGCAGCTTACAACTATATAAAGTTGAAAACAATGAGTATGCAACGGTAGTTAACATCATTAAAAGAAGACATTTAAAAACTACGAACAATGAATAAGGAGGCACCTTACATCCATGATAGGCAATAATAAGGCAAAGATCAATAAATATACAAATTTTTTAAAAATGGAAAACACAAAAATGGAAAACACAAGTAGTACTAAAAATCCAGTCAAAGCCATAATGCATAACAATCTATAAAAATCACACAGAGGTAGCTGGTTACTGGTTATTGATCACAGTTCAGTGATTTTTCTGACATAATTTGCTATAAGTGCAGAATGTTACCTGTGTTGTTCTGTTTCACTAGGACGCAACAGGAACATGAAACTCAGTGGAAGACCTTACAGACATATTGGCGTCCTGGGAACATCCAAACTATATGTAATAAGAAATCAAATATTTACTTTTACTCCACAGGTGAGCTTGTAATATCAAGAGTAAAATTGCTTATTTTCTGCTTTTTCCTCTGTCATTTCTTGACTTTATGTAGTGCAAGCAGATCAAAATTTGTACTCGATTTTAGCTATTCAGAGCTGAATAATAATAAAACAGGAATATTGATAAAGTAACATGTTTCCTGCTAACAGAAGGGTAGCCTTTCTAATGAGAGAGGCCAAGATTGTACACAGGGGTTAATAATGTTGAGTATTTGTTAATTATTCCAGTGCTGAAAGCAAGAGACATAAAAACAGGCCCTTAGCAAAGCCTGAACACATTACTGAAAATGTATGAAAATCTAGTTCCAGCTAAAGCTATCACAAATTACCACCCAACCACTTATCTAACCACTTATTTGCTATGTGCCGTGACAAAGAACCAACTTGCACCCAGCTGATATTATGGAAATCTTTAATTCATTTCCATGGCATCTGGGGCCTATTTGTTTCAAACAGGTGATATTTGTCTTATAAGAATAACCATAATTATTATACAGGCATTATCACTGTAAGTGCATAATGGATATATTACAATGTCCTCAGCTTCAGGTTTGCAGGAACTTGAGTCATTAGAATTCATCCGTACAATGTTTTTCCTTTAATAAGCAAGCAACATCGAATTATGTTTCTTAACTGGACTTTATAAATCCAGCAGATGATCCAGCATGGTGTCTAGTTTTACATATTCATTCCATGCTGGTGGTGCTGAAACAGCATGAGGAAGAACCTGTACAAATATCTTCCTCCTCTTCATTGCAGACAGACTCTAGAATATGAATGCCCAATCAGGAGAAACCCCAGTCCAAGTTATTATCCTTGGGTTCTTTTTGTTTGTTTGTTTGTTTTTGGGCGGTGGTGATGGATGGAATCCGGCAAAGTGAGCCTCTCTGCTATTCAACATCACAAAAAAACAACAACAAAATAGCCACCCAGATGTATTAACATTTGCGGTAAAGTGTCCCAGAACATTTAATATAAGAGGTTGTTATTCAATTAATGTAAGATATTTAGGTACCTTTTTTAAGGTAGAAGCCTCACAGAGTGTTTTATGTAAAAACAAGGAATAAGGTTGCCAGAAACAGATACAGCATAGTGCTGGGAGGAGAGCACTAAATTGGAGTGAAATCATTATGTTAAAAATACACTTAAAGCTAATTTTAAAAGGTAATGAAAAGTTCTTCATCTGGCACTGAAAACACAGCAGTCGGTGTCAAGAAAGCCTCCTGGTGGAGAGTATTACATAAATGTAGTTTCTAGTAACTATACTAATGGAACTACAGTATCTTAAAGGGAGTCCCGTTTAAAGTATATATAACAGTAGGAGAAAAAAGGATGTTAACAAAGCATGAATAAGTGTCACTGCTGTGTTTTCTCCGTCTAGAAGTGGTCAAAAGTGGAGCACAAGTTGGTGAAAGTTATGATGGTCTTACTCAGACCATATATTGAAAGAACACAGGGTCAGAGCTTCTGTTGGGAAAGAAATCTTACAACATTTATTTGCAATTTGTTCTTCTTTTCAGTTTACGGATCAGCATCACTTTTACTTGGCTTTAGACAATCGCATGGTTGTGGAGATGCTAAGGACGGAATTGGCCTATCTTACCTCCTGCTGGAGGATGACAGGAAGACCAACGCTCACTTTCCCAATCACCAATACAATGCTTGGTCAGTAAAATATTTACCTGAAACAAGAAATGGAAAGGGCTGCTTTATTTGGACAACTCTCAGAATTTAGCTGCCAGCATAGCCACTGTGATTCTGGGAGCTGTGTCCAAAAAAGCTGGAAAATGTTCACCTCTGTCTTAATCACTGCAGCAAAATCCAATATCTCTGCATTCATGCAATTTATGAGAACAGCATTTCTATTTTTATGCTACATTTCTTATTGGATTCAAAAACAGAGGGATAATGAAATAAATTACTGTTTTTGTAAATATGTTAGACTATAAATGTTACTTTGTGTTAACCTTGAATTTAGACAGTTTTTCTTATGAAAGGGGCAACCTGAAACTTTCATATGCAGAGAATTATGGGGCAATTTTATGTACCCATTTAGTAACAGGATCAAAAGCACCATCTGTTTTCCAGTAAAACAATGTAGTTTCTCATAAGTCATTACGATCAATGACACCTAAAAAAATAGAGTATAAAGACCTATATCAATGGTATGTGGGGTCTTAGGTGGCAGACAGAAGACAGATAGACAGATGTGCAATTAAATTGATGTAATAAGTGAAGATATTTTCAGCAGTACTGCAGATATAACATCTGTGCACAATGTATAGGAATCGTTAAGCAGTGCATATAATAGCAGTGCATGCTTTATAAAATATAAACATTCTGTTACATGTTGTTAAACTTGAATGCAATTGTAATAGTTATGCTAGCATAAACATATAGTCATCATGGACTGGCAGCAGTAATATTAAATCTAAGAGACTTTGCAACCATTGCTCGTGCTTTTCTGAGCAGTCTGTGCACAACCACCCCGTTTCACAGCTGCTTGAGTACAACAGACAAAATGGTTACAACAAGGTTACTATGATTTACCGGCATTGTGTCAATGAGATAGGACAGTTGCCCCTGATAGCAGTTATGAAGGTACTACTTTCTGAAACTATTGTTCTCACTTCTCTTTATGTCCTGGGGGGAAGGACTGTAAAATACCACATAATCACATCTCTTCATGGAGAGTTATGGAAGACCAATATGGAACAAGGTTTTATGACTCCCGCCCAGTGTTGTGAGTGTGTTTGGCTGTTGACTGAGGGTTAAGTAGACATGATAAAACTAAGGACACACAAGGCTTGTATTCATTGCGTAACACCGTCCTCTGAAACATTCCTCTAGAATGCAGTGGACCAAAGGTCAGACTAGGTGAGGTTCTCAGTCCACATTTAGAAGCAGTTGGGTGATGAAAAGTGTATGTCCTATTTGTCTTGCAAATTAGTTTACTGTGTTTTGCAATTGCCTAACTAAGGCTATCGGGCCTAGTTTGTAAGACTGATTGCCTAATTCACAAATCTGATTGCTCAGACAAACAGCTAGGAGAAAATCTCATCCTGTTAGGAGTGGGAAAATATGTAATCCCTTTTAAGTTTAGTTTGACCCTAACAGCAGCCACTGCATCTAACTGAGAGTTCTGTTCTCTTACCTTGTTTTTTGTGAGGATGACACCAAGTCAGAAGGAAAATAGAAATGGAAATGTCTGATGAAGTGGACTTGTCCACAGAAGCTCACATTAAAAAAACATTAAAGTCTTTGACCATGTTTTTGTCTGTTTTTACTTATTATTTCTGTTTATTTTATTTTATTTTGCATACTGCTCTATAGCCTAAAATCAAAATAAATAGATTTAATAAGTGAAGATGTTTGCAGCAGTACTGAAAATGGAAATGCGGTACATAATGTGCAGGATTTTTTATGCTAGCTATCTAATAACAATGCATGCTTGCTCATAAATTTCATTCAACTCCAAATAAAAGAAGTGTTGTGAGATTGCTGCAAAGTAAAAATGCTTGCAGTTAGTTTGTTTTAATTTTTTCTCCATCTTCATCCTGCTTATGCAGAATAAATTTAAACCCACCAATGCTTTGTTTTAGGTGGAGCTGGTTCTTTTAACATGAAAAAAACAATAGCAATGTATCATTTCATATAGAACATCCTAAGTATTTTTTAAAATGAATTGGTTAAATAACATTATTGCCCATATTCACATCTGTTTTATTTCCTTTTTGAGTGGATGATGGGTCTGATGTCGATCCAGCCATTCTTGCCACTATAAGAAAACTTGGGGATGGATACTTCGGAGGGGCCAGGTAAGATTCCAGTATCTCTGTTTTCATTTGAAGCTGTTCCTCTTTCTCTGCTTGAGGAACACATTTCAAGACCTTCTCTGTTCCATCTGATGCAGGGGTGGATAACCTCAGTGAGTGCAGCAGCCATTTTATGGTCCCTGATAGCCTCCATTTTATTGATCTCCAAAGAATGCAAAGGAAAAAAGAGAAAGATCCTATAATGGGGTATTTGGGGGTGTTAAACCTGAAAGAGGCCCTGCAGCCTATTTAAAATGTAAATTATTGCCCCTTGGGAAATTTTGGCAGGGGCAGGGAGGTCACCAAAAAAGCTGTGGGGATTGCAGTTTGACCACCCCAACCTAATGTTTCATGAGATTTAGCTGCTTCTCTGTTGTGTTCTTAACAGGCTTAATTGTCTGTAACCAGAGATTCTTTGTATTCTTACTACTGGTCAGAACCCTATTGTTTGTGTAAAAGTGTGAAGTTTGTGTAAAATTGCTGCATCTAATTGTTGAGGTGCCAGGACATGTCTCAGTTGCTCAGCCTGGTCATACAACTGATTGTGCAAGCCAAGATGTGGGCCAGCATTTCATCACCTAGCTACAAATAGTCATAGCAAGTTATGTGAATCTTATGGAAATATCAGTAGAGTTCTGGTTACTAAATTGTATGAGTTTTAGACTTTCCAATAATAATTTATTTTGTATTCGATTTTGAGTGCAGAAGTTGTAGCAGAAATTTCAGTTCCTGGCATGCCCTGGTAGGCTTTGGAAACAGTGGTGTCCGAAAACTCAGAAAACTGCTGGTGGTGAATGTATAACAGGGTAGGCAGCTGTGTCTCCCCAATGTTGTCAGATTACAATGCCCATCACTTTTAGTCAGCCTAGCCAGGAAGCTGTAGGCCAGCACTATCTGGACAGTAAGACAGGCTCACCCTCAGGTCCTGGTGTAAAGAATATTTAGTCAGCAGCACTGAACAAGGGTGGCCAGTGGTCTTGTGGCAATATCTCTGTGGCCTTCCTTACACATTTCCAGTGTTCTGTGCTCAAGTTTCCAGTCATACGACTCCAAAGACTTGACAAGAAGAATGTGATTATTACCGGCAATAGGAATTAAAAATAGTTTACCTTAATGTGAAGACCATTTTTCTGTCATGGTTAGTAGACCTGTTCTTTATGAATTTGTGAAACCACTGTAACTGCCAAAATCCCCTTTTCCTGTCTAGTGATCATCGATCATAGAAGTCTAATAAATGTTTTAGTTATTGTTATTAAAAGATTAATTTACATGTAGAAAACAACGTGATTGTCTTATTTTTATTCTCCCGTTTATTTTTCTTCAGAGTGAAGTTGGGCAAATTTTCAGACTTTCTGACCACTTCGTTCTACACAAACCTCAGTTTTCTGGATCCTGATTGTAATGGAAGGCTGTTCGATGATGGCAGTGAAGGTTATTCTAGCCCAGAAAGTGGCTATGAACTAGACTATTATGGAGACTTTTGTGACAAAGGTAGTGCCACATCATTCAGTTTACCCATGGAATATCTTCATAAATGTGAAATGTGTCCCTTCTTACTAAGTAAAATGCCTTTCTGTGGTCTCACTAATATAGAGAGATGAAAAATGTGTGACCTTCCAGAGGTTCCTCTTCTGTGACACCTGATCCTTCCTCACCATCAACTGGGCTAACTACCGCTGGCAGGAGTTGATGTCCAACGGCATCTGGAGGGCCACACATTTATCATCCTTGGCTAAAACATCATTTTAACACAGCACTTCGTAGACATTGGGGCAAGTGTTGGTATTGTTTTCACTATAGTTCCAAGTATCCCTGACATAGCATAGCCACTGGACATGTTGGCTGGGTGGGGTTTTTGGAAGTTGTAGTTTTATAAAAGATAATTGAAAGTCTGAGACTTTGACTATAATTTCATATTTGCATTGTTTGTATTTTTCTAATAAAGGCTGTGAGATTTGGAAGGAAGGATAGTAGCTGTCTCTGTCCCAAACTGCTTTGGTTTGTGTATGTCTTGACAGAAAGCCAGGATGAACTGGACCAGTACATAAATAATCTGTTGCAGAGCACTGCTCTTAAGTCACATTTACCTCCTGTATCAAAAACCAAGGGTTCATCCACCGTATTCAGTGCTGCTCATTCCACTAGAGAAATACTGTCCATCATGGCCAAGACAAAGGGATTAGAAGTTCCAAGTAAGTTTCTGTCTACAGCATTTTAACCTTTTTCCTTTCCCCAAATGGAATGCCTGTACATGTCAAACTCTTTTGTTGCAAAGAAAAAGTAGCCCACACTAATTGCCACTGCTCATAACTATTCCACTGCTATTATGTCATAACCCTTTAGCCCAATGTAGCCTTTGAATAATAAGATTCTTGTCACAAAAAGAAAGTGAATGATATGACATCATGTACAAATTTGGCGATTTGCTTCCAGAATGTTTTGTATTCCAAAGTTGTTGGTAATAAGCATCTAACATTATGCCAGTTGAAATACATACAAATCCAGAAAACTTGTAACTAAGAAGCATGCTGGTAAAGTTGAAGGAGGAAGAACAAAGGAGTGGATAAAATGAAATGCATCAAGAAATGTTGATTGAAACCCTGAAACTCAAGTTGTTCTCAAGATCAAAAACTATAATGTATAATAAATCCTAGTTGACTTGATAGATTGGCTTTAGTGGGTGAGATTAGCTTACTGTATTTTAAAGCTGACCAGTTTTTATAAAGTGTTCTCCCAAGGCTGAGTGACGCAACAAGCCTAAATTTTGAGGAGGTGAAACTGAGTGTTGCCAAGTCCCTGAAGAAATAAGGAGTTGTGTGACCCAGATCTTACCCAGGCTTCTTCTGAGTCCTGGATATGGTGTTAAAATAGTATAATATTATAATTTATTATTGTGTGTTAATATAGTTGGTGTAAATGTTGAAATGGTTTGGACATGAAATATATAGAAACAATGCTTACTGTTTTGTCCAGTAGCACATGAAATAATGCTGACATATCAAAGTCTTTATTATACCATCTTTTTTCCTGGATCTGAACACATATATTCTGATTTCAGGCCAGAGGAAACTGGTTTCCTTTCCTAAGGGCCTAACAATGTGTTAGACAAAAATATGTGCAAGCAAGCCCTGATGACTTCATCTGCTTCTTTTTTCAGGAGAAAATGTGATATTTAGGGAAAGGGGTGATGCATGACATTTACTCTGCCTCCTATTTTTGGCTTTTTAAATTGCTCCTCTGTAAACAGTTCTTCCTAGAAAGGGGAGAAAGGGGTGTTGCATTACACCTGTTTGCTAATACTGTATGACTATACCCTTAATTTCATTTGTAATTTAATTTCTGGAAGACTTTGAATTTTTACAATCGCAGTTCCGTATACTCAGAATAGCCTGATATGTTTTCATTCCAGATGTTTCAATGTCTTTACCTACAAAGGTTTTAAATACTCACCGGAAATCTCTGAACCTTGTAGACACTCCACGTGCTGTGATGGACAAGGTAAGCTGCTCTAGTGTTTACATTTGGAAAACATCATGATTTATTTTTGCTTGAAAATTTTGGCTTTGGAAGAAAAAATGTAACTGAAAGGTATTAAGTTGCATTCAGTAACAACATATTTCAGTTTGATTCTACAAAATGAGAATAGTTAGTGAATTAGAATTTTTCTACTCAGTATTCCTGTTCTCTGCTCTTGTGAAAGGTGGTGTCATCACTGGTCATAGTGAAGCAGCTCCCTCAGGGAAGAGCTGAAAGAGGACAGCACTGGCAGATTGGCAGGTTTCCTCACAAACTCTCCCGCTGTCCGCCTGAGCTGGAGAAAAGAGCTGCCTATGCTACACAGCCAAGCCTGATCCTCCAGACTTGTCTCCTAAATGTGGGGAGGACTTCCTTAGCGTTTCAGTGAGCTTCTCTATGTAAGCAGCAGAAGGAGAGCCATCTTGTCTTTAACCTCTGACAGCAAAATGTCTTGAACCCAGTTCTGAGTATTGTAAACAAAAAAGATGGTATCATTTAGGAAATGTGCAAGAAGAAAAAAGTGGAAGATTTTCTAAAGCTATGGTCAGTTTCTATGAGAGTGAATCTTCTGATCGGTACACACAGCAGTGATAACTTTCAGAAAGCGTATTTCATCATGAGAAAGGCAAGAACTAATAAATTTTTAAGCCACTGGTGCCTTGCTTTCAGGTATAACAAGGGTAGATATTTAAATCTGAGGAGCTCTGCTGCAGATGCGTAATGATTCCCTAAGGCCAGTAAGATTGCTTTTGAGCTCCTGCAGAACTGATTGGCACGTGGCTCATATATATTTGGCACTCGCAACATAAGACAACAAATTTGCGATCCAAAGAAGTGTGACCTGAATATATGTTGCTACCCTTCTCTTTTTCTTTTGGCTTAAGACACCATTGTACTTTCTTCCCTTTCCATCTCCATTTTGTGTTTTCCTTCAAATCTCAGTGGCAGACAAATCTTTAAGATTCTCTCCAGTTTAAAAATTATTGGGCACTACAGTGGGGCCTGCTGTCTGCTTACAGCAATCGTTCCCCACCTTGGATCCCCAGATATTCTTGAACTGCAACTCCCAGAAATTCTGGCCTGCGTGGTTAGTGGTGAAGTTTTCTGGGAGTTTTAGTTCAAGAACATATGGGAAGCCAGGGTTGGGAACCCGCTGGCTTACAGATTACAAGGTCCATGTGTGTGTGGCTCTTTCTAAAGAAAGACTGATATTGTTGGTTCAGGTCGCAGTCACATTAGAGAAATGCCCCCCTTCTTTCTCACATCTTCTGCTTTCTGTATAGTCACAACGTTGTGGCAACATGGCGTATATCCTGTGATAGTGGTTCATATGTTTTTTAATCATTCTGCTTTTTTGGGGATGAATTAAATGTGGTACGTTTATCTGCACCCCTTGAGCGGGATATATCCCCTTCCTTTTCTTGTGTCTCTCTCTGCCCCCTTCCCTTAATTTTTTTTTCTGGCCATGTACTGATCTGGGCCATTTCTTACTATTTCTGTGCCTCATTACCCTCTATGGAGGAGAACCCACAGCGTACTGAAGTGGCAGTCAAAAGACAGTAGGAGGACTGATGTTCCATATTTGACAGAAGTATACCAACACACTGACATTCCCCTTTGAAAATGAATAAAAATAATTAGGGAAGTTGAATGACATCAGATGAGGGAGGTGGGACCGCAAACTAGATGCATAGGAAATTAATCAGATTTGGAGTACACAATGGAATGTCGGTTGTACTGTATGATGAAATGTGGAAAAAATATAATAGTAGCCTCCCAGTGGGCTGGATTTGATGCGGAGGTAGCTCAGAGGGGGGAACGAAATAATTGGTAATGGCCTTGCATTATCTGAACCTTTAAAAGGCTCAAAATTCATGAGGAGTAACTCAGAAACATTTTGCAGGTGTGACTGCAGCCTCACCTAGTTATCCATAGAGTTAATGACACTTATTACTTAATCATAGCAAGAGTTGGGGATCTAGATATTTTGGTAATCGTCAGAAGTGCCACAGACTTTGTGGGACAGCATCTAGCTGTGAGAATGAGCTAAACGTTCTGCAGCACACATTTTAAAAATGAAAAGTGGCTTGGGGAGGGAATTAAGAATGTTTCTGAAAGACCTTGTAAAGCTTACAAGTTGCATTGCTATATCCAGCCCTAATCACCTGCAGCTTAAGCACCTGTGGTTTCAACCTTGTCTTAGTTCCAGTTTGCTTAAGGCAGTGTTTGTAGAGTTCCAGAATCAGAGCAGGCTCTGCTTATCTTCACTGTGGTTTTTGCATTATCTCCTCTGGGGCCAGGAACAGATCATGGAAATTCTCTTTTGGATTAAGGCACCTCCCTGTCTGGCCAGATGTTTCTTGGGGGGTGTTGTAGTCCCCCCAAAAAGGAACTTCTCCATGCTCTGTCTTCGACTCTTCCTCCTGGTGAATGATACCAAGCACACAGACTTACCAATTTAACAGTGTGATACAGTGAGGAAAACAAAGTTTGCCTTAAACAAAGTTTGTTTTCCTTCTGTTACAATGATATATTGAAAAATAATGTGTGATCATATCACTATTCTCAGAAAAAAACAGAAGCTGTTTTAAGTGGGAAGAAACCAGTACAGTGGACCCTTGACTTACAGACGGCTTGACTTACAGATTTTTTGAGTTACAGACTTCTCTGGCCGCAAAATTTAGGTTTGACTTGCAGACTGAGATTTGACTTACAGACCAAAAAAAAACCCAAAATGGAACAAAAATGGCCTGTTACGGGATTAATTGGTTTTCAATGCACTGTAGGTCAATGGAGACTTGACTTACAGACTTTTTGACTTGAGAACCGCCTTCCAATATGGATTAAGTTCTCAAGTCAAGACCCCACTGTAAAAGCCAAAACTAATCAGGATGCAGGCACAATTTATTACCTTTCATTTTTATTTGTCATGCTTTACAAGTTCCAGTTGTTGCCAGGATCCAGTGAAGTATTGCTTTTATTTATGGCATTTCTACCACACTTTTCCACTACAAGGTGGTACTTAAAATGGTTTGCAATCATCATGAAACACAATAAAAATACATAAAAAGAAATTCAACAAGTATTAACATCAAATAAAAGAAGAGAACCCCCCCCCAAAAAAACCCATTAAAATCAGTTATATCTACAAACAGGTACAATCTGGCATACCTCCACTGGCTTCTTCTGCTTTCAACAGTGGAATCAGGACTTTCTCCCTTCCCTCATCTTTCCAGTCTTTCATGTAGCAAAAATATGCTCTGGTTTCTTTGCCTTCTGGAGCAGATTTTTAGGATACAAATGAGGGGCTGCAGTAGAAAAGGGGGATTACCTGTCTTAATTCTTGTAGCAGAAGCAGAAGTATATACTGGCCTTTGGATATAATGGCTGATATCCTGTTGCTAAGCATAATAAATCACAAACAGAATCGGCCCACTGAGTCACTGGATATTTGATGTGATGTGTCAACTCCTCCACAAATCCCATTGATACAATGGGCTTATTCTGGTTGTGTCTTACTACACTAAGCAACAGGATTTCAGTCATTTCTTTGTATGAATATTAACAATTTGAATAGCAAAGCTTCAAATGTAACCACAGTGTTCATTTCTATTCTGGAGGAAGGGTGGCAAAGACAAACAGAAACCCCACATAAAAAAAAAGATCAAGGCTGAACTGGCCTTTTCTATCACCAGCAGTTGCAGTCTCTCATGTAAACATAAGAATAAACAATATCCTGTTCAGATAGGCAAGGTATTATTTTTTCCAAATGTTTGTATGAAAAATGGTGGCACTGAAGAAGACGAACAATTCATGGTCAAAATGCATTTCTCCTATACTAGGAATTTAGTGTTTACTGCTCTATCTATTCATCTGTTTTTAATTTGTTTGACTTTTTGTTTGTTTTTAATTCATTTTACTTTTCTTTTTGTGGCTCTGAAACTTCCCAAGTATATCCCAACCTAAAAGTACAAAAAGTACAAAAACCTGAAAGTACAAAAAGTACAAAGCGAACCTTCCAGATTTGCATAAGTCCTCCTTGAATAAAATAAACTGCAAAGCTGCAGGAAAGAACAGAAAAACTTCTGTAATTTAATATTTAATTACATATATGTGCCCCTCATGTTCTCTGGGGATCAGCTATGGCTAATAAACTACACATCACCTTTTCATGTTCAGGCCCTTTTGACTTCTGGTCATTTGATGTTTGTCTTTGATTAATAGGAGCTAGAGACTGTTCTGCATTTACCCAAGGATGCTCATGGTGATTTGGACTGTGAGAAATTAGTTGAACAGCTAAAGGAATGCCCTACTTTGCATGACCAGGCGGATATATTATACATCTTGTACCTAATAAAGTAGGTGTTGTAGTATCTACTAAGAACAACTCCATTTTTATTTTTCTGATATTTACAATCAAGGTCCTAGCTATGCAAATTTTTATGAGATTGCTCTTGTACATTACCCTGACAGCTGAAGCTATATTGGTTTCCCTCTGTTCATTCATGGTTAAGAGCAGAAATGTATTTACAGATACTGTGTGGAGATCTTTGTAATTCTTATAGCTCATGTAAGAAAGTCTTATGCTTCTTGTTCTTTGAAGTTTCCAGCCATGACATTACCAGTGCTTATTAATAATGTTTATAACTAGCTTTTTTAAAATCCCAATCATTTGCTCTTAACACTTACACAAAATCATTTGAAATCCTATCTAGATTTTACTCACATTTTTCACTTTTTCCTGTATAAGGTTGGCTATTCTATCACAGCACAGAACATAATTTTTGTCCAGACAGTTAAGAAACAAAAACAAAAACTTGCATTGAATTACTCCTGTGGTCTTTTCTGATGTCATGGCTCCTATACTAATGGAGTTGCAGAAATTAGTCTTAGAGTTAGCAGGCATTGTTTGGCCTAAAACCACAGAGAATTCCAGCCGGCTACCTTGTCCATATGGCCGAACTGCTGTCAGCAAGCAGCGGCAGCCCTGGTTCTCAGCATCCTGCTTGTTGAGAAAGAGCAGGAGACATTTCCTCCCATTCAGTACTTCGTGTCCACTGGGAGGGAAAGCTACCCAAATGGCAGAGTGCGTTATATGGCGGAAGGGGCTTTTTTGTTTGTCCCAGCTGCTTTTTGCCTATAAGAAAAATCCTGTATGTTGTGCATGGCTGAAACTTGGGGACACAGTATACACGGTTCAAGTGACAGTGCTGGAAAGTGTCTAACCTGTGTGAACTCTATAAAACCAATTACTTTACAAAACAAGTGGTTTAGAGGTGGTAGAATGTCTGCCATTTGGCTGCATAAATATTGAAGTGATGTAGCTCCTTGGAATTCTTGCATGCTTCTATTTCAAGACCTGAGGATACATCTGTGCAAAGCTTTTTGGAGCGTGAATGGAGAAATACTTCAGTGCCTGTTCTGTACTGAAGCGATGAGTAATGCACTTGACTTCACTGAATTGCTCATAGGCCTAAATCAAGTACTGCTTGCTGTGGTTTTCAAAGGGGCTGTTGGAAGTTAAATGTCAAAAACCTATTAATTTTTAATCTCACTTGGTTTCTCAAGTGACTTTTAAAATTACAGGTTTTAGAGAGGTATTTCAGGATGGAGTTTCCATAGACTTTTAAGAGCGATTTCTTGCTTCCCTCTAGGGAAAATGTTTAGTTGCACCTGCAACTTTTTATTAAAAAAGAAAAGAAAAAAGAAAACATAATCTAACAAAGTGTGTGTGTATATATATGTGTGTGTGTGTTTCTGTCTCTCTTTTTAAGAGGCCTAGACTGGGAAACACAGCTCTATGGTCAATGTGGGGTCACAGTACATTGCCTCCTGAATGAGCTCTACAGCAAAGCAGGTCTGAACCAAGAATGGGGATTGATCCGCTACATCTCTGGTATACTCAAAAAAAGAGTGGAAGTTCTCTCTGAGGTATAAAGCCTTTACATATCTTACTTACCCTGGGGTTTAGTAGCTGGTACCCTATAAAATCCATCCATATGCCCCAGGCAGCATTGTCATCATTGGGGTTATGGAACCTAACAGTCCAAAGTACCTGGATGCACCAAGGGCGGGTGATAACTTTATTAGTCCAGTAAAGAAAATCAATAGACCAATAAAAAAAATCAATAAACAGGCACTACCTTTTGACCCCATACAGGACTTCATCAGGCCAGGCACCACAAGGCTGTGGATAATACAGAAATAAGGACTAAAGAGCTATTATTTCCTGTTCTTTTTTTTTCATCTTCTTTTTCCTGTTGAATCATTCAAGATGTCAGTCCTGTCTTAACCATGCCTTCCTCTGCACGTTAGGGAGTAGAGAGATTCCTCTAGTAGTAAAGAAATGTCCTTGCAGTACAGTGGTGCCTCGCTTAACGAGCGCACCGCATAATGACGACATCGCATAGCGATCCATTTTTTCGGATCGCTAATGCGATCGCTTAACGTTTTTTAAATAGGGCTAAATTCGCTTTGGGAAGACCGGTAAGCGTTTCGCTTACCGATCTTCGCAAAACGAAGCCCGATGATCAGCTGTTCGGCGGCCAAAATAGCCGCCGGAAGCCCGGAAATGGCCCAAAATGGCCGCGCGCAGCGTTTTCGCGCCCTCGTTAAGCGAGGCGAGGGCGCGAAAATGGCTGCCAGCCATTACGAAGCTTCGCTGAATGGTGAGTATTTGGCCCATTTGGAACGTATTAAACCATGTTTAATGCGTTCCAATGGAAATCCCTGCCCCGTTCAACGATGCTTCAGCATAGCGAAGGTTAATCCGGAACGGATTAACCTCACTATGCGAGGCACCACTGTGTATCTGGAAGCTGAGTCATGGCAACTGGACTTCTTTCCTATTAGGTTGAAATGTTTCGCTGCTCATCCAAGTAGCTTCTTCAGACTGAACTAATAATGACTCAACTTCCAGATAATCTCACCTGGATGACTGAGAATCTTCACAGAGATATCCCTATAGCATAATTTGCAACTGAGTCCTAGATTGAAACAAATGTATGGTGTCCTAATAGAAGATGGCCAATGGTCTCTGCTGAGGTTACTGATCACCCTGATTTGAACAATGTACTTTTATACAGAGTGTGAACTATTGAGTTCCTAGAGGGAAGGGGTGGTATAAATCAAATTCATCATCATCATCCAACCCATTTAACTGTAGCAGCCCTGTGGCATAAACCTTGAGACTCTTGCTATTCATACAAATGTAACCTTTAAGTGTCATGGAAGTAATTTTGAGGAATTGTTTGAACATATATCTAATGCATTTTGAGACATTTATTTTCAGTGTGGTGAATTTTTCAGGGTCTTAAATCATGCAAGTAGTCTTTATGAATAGAATGAGGGTCCCTCAGCAGCCAGTTGCCTTCCAGCTTGTGAGAAATAATATCAACCTAGTCAATACACCTACCATGAATTTTTGTTTGTTTTTGAAGAACTGCTCACCTAAGTTGCAAACTCCATCTATTTGTCTTAGCATGGATTTTTGTTACCTATGTATCTTGCATTTATAATGCTTTGTTTTGAAGATAAGAACAGCCTTAAGATGTAGGTCTGATTGCCCAGGTATATGTTACAGAAGAAATCCAGTTGTGGGAGGGAAAATGATTACTGAGTATACAGTATATGCATTCACATTAAAGTCTAATTTAAGGGGCCAGGGTGATTGGGCTCATCCCCATCGCTTCTCCAGGCAGTGTTAAGCATGAGGAGAAAGAGTGCCTGCGTAGAGGAGCTAAACTCAATGGGCTGTATCTGTACCAGGTAGAGAAAACCTGACCATGATTCCTCTGCTTCTGCTTTAGGGATAGTTTGGAGCTTGGAGGACTTATTTGATTAAAAGTTGGAGGAATCTGGGAGTTGTAGTCCCATAAAGTGGCTTTTTCAAGATCCTGGGAGACATAGTGAAAGTGCTACTTCTCCTACCTTCATGATGACATGAGAAATGGTGTCAAGTGCCCAGAGGTGGAGCCATGGAATAAATAACCCAAGCAATGTGCTGTGTTTTTAAAATGTAAAATAGCAAAATTCTATTGGTTCCTGCATGGTGAACAGATTAGTTTCACTCACTCCTCCCTTTGTTCTCTTCCAGGCATGTACAGATCTTTTGTCACACCAGAAGCAACTTACAGTTGGTCTTCCTCCTGAACCTCGGGAGAAAACAATTACAGCGTAAGTGTGGCCATACCCTATCACTGTCCCATAGCTACATTACCAAAGCAAAGCAAAGCAAAAAGCAAAGCGTGCTGTTTATATACCGCCCCATAGCGCTTCAAGCACTCTCTGGGCCGTTTACAATTTAATTATGCAGGCTACCCATTGCCCCCCCCCCAGCAAGCTGGGTACTCATTTTACCGACCTTGGAAGGATAGATGGCTGAGTCAACCTTGAGCCGGCTACCTGGGATTGAACCCCAGGTCGTGAGCACAGTTTTAGCTGCAGTACAGCTGTTTAACCACTGAGCCACAAGGCTCTAACCCCTTCCCCCAAAGAGAGGGAGGAGTGCCCCCCTTGTTTCAAGCTGAATTGCGCTTTTGAAGGTTTCCAGGAGTGAAATTAAGTTTGAAGAATAAGGTTCATGCTCCTCACTTCATTTGTTTAAAGAAAATTTCGGGGATGCTTTGCTGCTATTAACAAAGTTTGCAAGGGTGGCAGTGAATTTGTTTGTGAGGGGAAAGACAGAGTGGGCCCTGACAGCAAGTGAGTGAGGGCATGGTTACTCACCGGTTAGCCGTAGGCAACCAGTATTTCCATGCTCACAAAGGAGCGAATCATCAGAGGAGAAGCGGCTTGCTCCATTTCTCCTCATGCTAGCCTGCCTTCTCCACTTGCTGTGGAGGAAGGAAAGGCTCTTCCTTTTAACCAGACTGGAAACACAGACGTCTTTTGGAGAAGTAAGAACCATCCATTCTTTTCCACTAGTTCTTTTAAAAATGTTATTACATTCCTGTGGGCCTTCCATCTTTCTGAATAGTCAGATTAGAAACACAGCTTGGTGTTATCTTAGTAGTCTACTGAGATATTTTGTGGACCATCAACTTCTGTGGTTATATTCAGAAGGCTGATTTACTGAAGAATTGGGGTTGGGGGGAGAGAATTATTGATAGGAGTTTCTCCTGCAAAAAAGGTATTGGCAGTTTGTAATTATACATTTGTATTTTTTTCAAGGCCTTTACCACCTGAGGAACTGACAAAGCTAATCTATGAAGCCAGTGGCGAAGATATCAGCATTGCAGTTCTTACACAGGTAGTGTGGAAAGAAGCCGTTCTGTGTTTGAGGAAACTGGTTTCATTGTTCTTCTGGTGCTTCAGCTTTTACAAACATGATGCGTGGACATTCTTTCTCTTCCTTGCACACAGGAAATCATGGTCTACTTGGCAATGTATGTCCGCTCCCAGCCCAGTCTATTTGCGGAAATGCTTCGTCTCCGCATTGGACTTATTATTCAAGTGATGGCCACAGAACTGGCTCGCAGCTTGAATTGTTCAGGTGAGACTGGTTTTATAACCTCCACTCAGTACTAAAACGGGAGGAAAAACATTTTCAAAAAGATACTCATGTTCGCTCTCTTCCAGTATATGTAACAAAAACAAGAAAAGGATTGTGGCACTTCTAAGGTTTACAGATTATTTTAGCCTGAGATGTTATGGGTCACAATCCAATTCATCAGACACATAGAGTACAGGACACAATGTACATGGTTGTGAAGACAGCGGCCGAATGAAGAGGGATTTCAGCTGAAGTGGAATTTCTTCTAAGAAAAAGGAATTTCAAAGAGAGATTTTAGAGAGCTGTAACTGAAATGAGCTAAATGCAGAGCATTAATCAGAGACCTGGTTGTCTTAACTTTGCTCTGTTTATATCAATAAGCATGTTTTCACTGTAGTCCTGAGTACAATAAAAACACTGAATTTCTTTGGCACAATTCTAACCACAACACAATCAACTTTTTTCTGAGGTCATAACTCATTGCTTCAGCACTGCAGAGATTAAAGCCCACAATTGTTTTGTATTATGGAATTATTCTATCTATTGCAAGGATGTTAATATAACAAACGCTTTGCAAGTTAATAACTATTCAGTTTCATTTGCTCCCACCTGTACATTGGGGAAAATTACAGTGGCAAATAGGTAATGAGTTGCTGTTTGTATTCATTGCTGAATGCCAAGTCAAATAAGTCACACGTGATGAGCAATAAAAGCAGTGACTAGTCTGCTAGTGACAATTTTTCACTGCACTTTACACCATGGTAATTTAATTAGCATAAATAATATAAGTCTGGCCCCTGTGTTCTCCACGTTGAATTCTATGTGCCCAAGGAAGGTAGGTCATAAAGAGATGGGCACGAACCACAAGTTTGACAGTTGTGCTGGTTTGGATGATGCCTGAATAGATGTTCCATGGTTTGGCCTCCTTCAGTGGGCGCCCACTTCAGAAGCAGTGCCCTGATTTCCCTGCCTCACCTCCTGTGGGTGCTGCTTCTGAATGAGTGCCCACTGGAAGGAGCAGGGCACCAAACCACAAAACACCTGTTTGGCTGTTGTTTGTGCCCATCTTTAATTCATAATATACAAAGGCACACATACATCTTTTAGTCTTAAGTGACACAGTCCTTTTGATGGGGTTTTGTTTTGTTCTAAAAGAGATAGTCCACCATCTCTATTTCACTTGCAGCAAAGAAGTCGAGATGGATGGGAAGCAGGGTAGACCTGCGTGAGGTTGATATGCATAGAGGGAGTGGAGGAGGAGAAAGGTGGAGGAGAACAAGGAAGAAGGGGGCTTCCAGAAGGAGGGCAGAGACCGGTAGACTTTACAGTAGTACAAAGACACTGTGAAGTCTAACAGAGCCTAAGTGGATTATGGAGCAAGGCAGTGGCAGGGCCAGGACAATAATAATAAGCATGTATAAGGGCAAATCTCTATGTTCTACTGCAGTGGTCCCCAACTTTTTTAACTCCACGGACTGGTTGGGGAAGGCGGGGCACACACATCCCGCTCACATGCATGCACAAAGGAGCAGGTGCGTGCACACTCACGCAGGTGCGAAGGAGCGGGGGGTGCTCACAAGGGTGGGTGTACTTGAAGGGCGCTCGGGGCACTGGCATGCACTCGTAAAGGGGTGTGGGGCGCTTGTCTGCGCACATGCATGAAGGGATTGTGCAAGGGGCAGGAGTGCGGGGAGGGAATCTGTCTCCACAGCCTGGTCCGGTCTGGCCCAAGCCACGGACCGGCACCAGGCCGCGGACCAGGCGTTGGAGACCCCTGTTCTACTGGCTTTTATTGATCACTGCATGCACTACTAATTCTACATCCAACCGTGGAAGTATCATTCTTTTGGACAACAAAGTCACACTGTTGCTGACTAGAAAATCACGGGGGTCATAGTCCAAAAAGTAACTTCCCAGGATCACTGTTTGTTGTGCTCTGAGCCAGTTTTTGTTTTTGCTCAATATTTCTCTCTTTAAAAAATTCTTAAAGAAGTCCCATAGTGGTGGACCTACATTTTTGGGATCCTGAAGCTTGAACTGTTATGGGGGTCCCCTTGCAACCAGCCACGAGGCCTGGGTAACCACTGTTACCTTCTTCTGTTCCATAATAGACCACAACAATTTTTTTAAAATGTGAATTAAAGTCACTTCTGGGGCCCTTCCAGGATTAAGGACCCTGCAACTTAAGCTTCATTAGTTCCATAGTAGATCTGCCGCTGGTCCCACTTTGTTCAGTAGGTCTTAGCTGATATGAGAATGGATAGGACTACCATCTTAGGTTTATCACTAGTGATTTTGCTCCTACATTAATTAAATTTGTGAGTTGCCCTATAACCAAAGCTCTCAAGTCAATATATGTGAATCCAAAACTAAATGCCACAAGGGCACATTGTAGTATTGGGGGGAAAATGTTCTCAAGAAAGTACTAGAAAGCTTTGAAAAATCATCTGTGGAACTAAAAACATGTTTCTGCAATTCAGAGAGATACCAGTTTTTTAATAGGTTGGTTCATTTGTTGTATGTTTCTGCATTGCTGCAAACTTTGCTGCAAATATCCAGTATGTATTTTATTAATAAAGAAAATTAGTCTCAGATGCTTGACTTAGGTAGCTGCAGGTTTCATGAATCCCGTGGTTTAAGAATAATGCACCCTAGGAAATCAATCAAGTTAGGTGGTGTTCTTCACAGTAAATGCTATTCATAAGATAGTCTGTTTTTAGGAACAGGCAGGAAGGATATTAAGGTAAACCACATTGTTTGTCATGCTTCTGGATATGAACCTGACATTTATGACTTAAAGGTAAAAATGCTATTGTGGTATATAGAGAGAGCAAAATTGTGCTACTTATCCCTTTGATGAAAAATAATGCCTTTAATATATATAATGCAGTTTTATACTACATTATGCAGTTGTGTAGGTATGTCAAGGGAAACAGTATGTGAAAATTATCCTACAGCAGAAAATCAACTGTTTCCATTCAGTTGTTAAGTCAGGAAAGAAGGATGGAGCCATTATTTTGTTGAAAATCGTCTGTGCTTTCTTATTAGTGGTGATTACATTTGCAAAGTAGGCTTGTCCTGTTTTCTCTTACACAGGTGAAGAAGCCTCTGAAAGTTTAATGAATCTAAGCCCCTTTGATATGAAAAATCTCCTTCATCATATTCTCAGCGGGAAGGAATTTGGAGTCGAAAGGAGCAGTAATATCCTTTTTTTAAAAAAAATATGCTCATTATTCTTTAAAAATGACTTTTGTGCATCTTTAATTTTTGTTAACAAGCAACCTTCTTTTCTTCTTTCTCCACTCCGCAAGTGCGTCCTCTTGATTCATGTACATCAAGCCCAGCTATATCCATTCATGAAGTGGGTCATACAGGAGCAACTAAAACCGAAAGATGTGGCATTAATAGGCTGAAGAGTGAGATGAAACAGGTGAAACTGCGACTCTGCATCTACATTCACATACCAGCTTGTCACTACAGCTGACCTATAATTTATATAAGCTAGGATGGGGACCATGTGGTCTTCTTGACTACAACTCCCATCATTGACCATGCTGACAACAGTTCCTGAGAGCTCAAGTCCAGCTGCATATAGAGGCCCAGGCATTTTTCTAGCCACCGTCTAGGCTCCTCTGAATTTGAGAGCATATTCAGCTTGTTACCCCCCAAAGAGTTGTACGTAGGCTTCCACAGCCACCAGGGATTTTGGGTCACTCCTTCCCATCACAGCCCATCTTCATGCCCTATTGCCATATTTCTTAACAAATTTTAAGGGGTCTTGGTGGTGGTTTTACATTTAGGTTGGAAGTTAATAATTTACCTGTGCAACCAGGTGAGACTTCAATAGCTTCTACTGCTCATGTGAAGTACCATAGTCTAAGCTTACTTAACAGTTATTTCTCCTGCTAACCTTTAGCATCTGCTCTATTGTTTTCGTGTTGTTGTTGTTTTCATTCTAGAGGAGTAGGCGACCAAGTAGTGATCAGGTGAAAAGAAAACAGCACGTGTGTGTAAAAGCATGTCTGTCTTTGGAATGGCTTATTTGCATTTGGTGCAAGTGCACGCATACACACTAGCATAGGTGTTTAAATTCATTTGAAGAAATACTGAACTGGTATTTGTGTGGGAGAGAAAGAAAGAGGTTTTAAGTGCCTTTGCTCGTCCTAGCAGGGGGTCCCGGGGCTGTTTCCAAGGTGACTTATCCTGTTCCCTGGCTGTGGTTCTATTCATCTCTTAAATTATCTCAGTGCCACCATCTAAATTACTTCTCTAAATTAGTTTAAAATGTAATGTTTGGGAAAAAATTGCAATTGTAGTTTGTGCTGGTTTATAATGTTGACAATTTCAGAAGTGACAAATCATTTTAAAAATTATCCTAAGTGTTTAGGGCTGCCATCAATCCAGAGCTTGTAAAAACGTTATTCTTATGAACTGTTGTCTGGTGGTGTTGGTGGTTGGACAACAGCTTGACAATTATTTCAGCTAATATAGTAGTAATAATAGACTGATGTAAAGATGTTGTGTAAGTGATTGGTGCTATTTATGTAGGGTCACTCTGTTTACAAATAATACTTCCCCAATCTATACTGTACAACAAATCTATTGTGTGTAGGTTTAATTAATTTAATGTAAGGATACAATATACAGTGGTGCCCCGCATAGCGACATTAATCCATTCCGGATTAATTGTCTCTATACGGAAACATCGCAGTGCGGGAGGGAAAACCCCATAGAAACGCATTAAACTTTGTTTAATGCGTTTCTATGGGGTGAAAACTCACCGCTATGCGAGGTTTCCTTCATAGGGCCGCCATTTTC